TCGTAATGAAGCACTCGTCGTCAGCTTCCTTCCATCTTCGGCGCCTCATCAAATTAGCTGCTTGGTGAGTCGAATCGAGACCCACATCGTGAAATCCTGCCGATAACGTGCCCGCACAATGAACTTCAGAATTCAAGAGGACACTTGGGAAGGGTTGTCATTCGTCATAACTCTAATCTGCAGTACGTCTGTTCTAGCTATTGCCCTTATTAATCCCCACCAATTGAAGTTCGTATCCAACAGGTGCTACGCCTTGTATGGTTGCAACAACCAACACGACACCGGTAAACCTGTGGCATCAGGAAGCGTGCTTGTCCCAAAAGTCTGGAACTTCCTAGAAGATGGAACCTTACAGGCGTCGTTATCCCGTTAGCTGCGTTTATCTTTTGGATCAAATGCAGCGTTGCGCTGACGGACGTTACGATCATCTGCTTCATCTTTGACCTTAGTGTTCTCGGAAGGATCACACAAGGAGACCAAGTTCACAACAACAGAGGTACATGTCGACACCTCCGGGTCGATGATGCGCTTCGTCAAACCTGGAACCCCTCTCGAACAGGATAGGCCTAAAGGCAACCCGGTCCACCCATTTGTTCGGACGGTACGTGATGTCATGAGTTTAGGGAGGAAATTCCCATTCTAACTCGGATATCGGTCCAGCGGATTGTGTTCGAGCCTCTTTGAATCGACTATACCGAGTGAATATTTCATTGACAGGAGGTGGCGTTTCTTGGAGCGCGGATGTCGATGGTTGTGAACAAACCCTCAACAGTTAACCGCACCGAGCTCTTCATATGCAAAATGACTTTATCCAGGCGTCCATCCAAAAATAAGTAGCTTAATCGACTTAGCACAAGAGAGGAAAGAGCTTTCTAATTGTACAAGAAGCAAAAATGGTTAATAAAAGGAAGGAGCAAAAAAGGAGGGAACGATAACGCGTGACATAAGAAAACGAGGACCGTAAAGCAAAGAAGCTATGAAAACGAAAGAGAGAGCTAAAGACATTCTACATATATACTTGGTAACGATTATTCGAGAGTTCTGGGACTCGGACTCTTTAAGAAGTTAGGCAGGAAGTGGTAGGCTGTGGAGTGACAGCAGGATTGGGGCAGGGAGGCGGGGATAGGGGTTCAGAGAGTCGAGTGGAGGCGGAATTTTGCCAGAGCATCGATCGCTGAAGACGACGAAGAACGCATGTGCTGGTACGCAGGTGCTGGTTGAGGAGGTTCGGCCGTAGGCTCAGGAACGCTTGAGATGATAGCAACGAGGACGCTGATATCTGCCAACCGAAAGGAAAACCAAGTCAGCAAACCGTGTCCCCATCTTCAAGCCAGAGCCTAGGAAAGACGGACCATCACCCTTGCCACCAACGAACCGAACACCGGCCTCCCTTGCTCTCCTCCCAAACGGAATCTCATCTCTCACCCACTCAGGTTCTTCTTCCTCTTCGACACCCCAACCGAGTCCACCCAAACCAGCACCACCGTACTCTCCATCCCCACCAAATCCATCTCCCAAAACATCGTCATCTAACTGACCGTCGGATTGGGTGATGGATTTATGAATGGGCAATTCCATCCCTTCGACGACCGGGATGGGTTTGAGCAACGGCGAAGGTGGTGGAGTAGGGGTTTGCGTGGGGTGTGATGAAGCGGCGGGTGCCGCTGCTGCTGCTGCTGCTGCTCGCGGTGGGATTGGCATTGGGGCGGAAGTGGATGCCGGTCGGGCCGATCGAGGAGGTGGTGGAGGAGGTGGACCTTTTGGTGGGGGTGGGATCGTCGGCCGCCTTTGGGCAAACGCACCCATCGTACCGCTGGCATCTGCAGTCATAGCTCTCCTTTCGCTGACCCGCTTGGCTCGGGAGGCCAGAGCTTCTGATAACCGCTGTGCCAAGACGGTGTTGGTCACAGGTCCGGCAGGTGCGTGCGGGTTTCGAAGATTGCTCGACGACGGCGGAGTTGAAGACGACGTCGACGAAGCCGAAAACGAAAGCGATCCTCCACCTCCTTGTGAAGGGGATGAGGATAAGGGTGAGGTCCGAATGAACCGGTTGATCTCGTCGAGAACGTCCTCGTCCCAGAGGTTATCCCCCATTCCATCACTAGCCAAAATGACAATATCGTTCGCTTTCACGGGAACGGTTAACCGTTGAGCGTGTGTTGCGGGAGTTGTATCGGAACGGGGACCGAGCTGGTAAGGATAGTTGAACTGGCAAAATTTAGGGGTAAATCGAAGTCAGCCCTCAAGATAAGCTTAATCCAGTAAGCTTGTCAAAAGGCCCTGTAGGCAAACTCACGGAGTGCTGCATCTCCTCACTACGGAAAACCATTTCTCCGTCCCGGACGACGCATACGACGCAGTCACCAACGTGCGCGATGCGAAGTTCCGATTCCGCGAGGACCGCGAGTGTGGCGGTGCTTGACCCTAACATACCCGATTGCCTTGCATCTTGAATGCAACGCTCGTAAGACGTCTGTAGGATCTGCACTGGGTCAGGGCCGGAAGCGGGTGGTGGTGAGGAGTTGGCGGTCGAGGTGTTGGGAGTCGAGGCGCTTGAAGGTGGGGGTGTCGGGTAGTGGTCTTGCTGTTGCTGTCGCGCGAGCTCGACGGAGCAGAAGTGCATCAACTTCTTAGCAAAGAGAGCGCTGTTGCTCTCTCCCTTGTGCTTCCATCCTCCTACTCCGTCAGCGACGCCGAGTGCGTCGGGTCGAAGGAAGTATGCGTCTTCTCCAACCTGGACCGAAAGGCTGTAGGCCGCTGGGTCTTCTTTTGGAGCTCCGGCGCCGGTCGATAACGAGGATGACGTCGGAGCACTTGCAGAGAGGTGAACGTGCTGCTGCTGCTGTTGTTGATGCAACTCGCTGCCGTTGTGTTCCTCCGACTGCTGATTCTTGCGTCTTTTGGGGATCCCGTACGCTCCCATCTCCAGACTAAACGTCCTCCGTTCTTTTCCTTTCCCCTCGCTCTGCCCCTCCCACGGCAGTCGACGCTCGATTTCACTTCTGCCCGAGTTGGTTGAAGTTGGGACGAACCATACTAGAGGTAGTCCGTTGCCGCCTGGATAAGCATGTGAGGAGTTGGTCGTGTACCGGGGGTGAGCGATAGCCGAGGACGAAGTTCCGGAATGAGTGGGAGGAGGCGAATAAGGTGTTAGAGCAGTTGTCGGCTGGCTCGGACCTTTGAGGATGCGGGGCGAAGAGGAAGGTCCTCCGGAGTGGGATGAGGATGATCCAGACGCTTGAGACGTCTGGGGGAGGACGTCGAAGTAAAGAGGGGACGACTGGGTGGTGTAAGCTGTGGCTGTTGATAGCTTGCGCCTGGCAGCTTGAGTCGTGCTTCGCGGTAAGAGCTTGAGATGTGCTCCAGGCTTCATGGCGAGCGCTGGAGGTCGTAGAGCCCGATGGCGAGGTAAAGTAGGAGAAAAAAGAGATGAGGGATGGTCGATGGAAGAGGACAAATGATGTGTGGCCAATTTCACGCTAGACCGAGTCCCTCCGCGCGGGAAAATGTTTGGACTCTCGTCCAAGGACTCCGGCTCTCACACCCCCGACTCATGCCGAGGCCGCAACCACCTGATATCACTACATGAGTCTAATTGCACATCGGTCTTTGCGTCTCCGTATGGTCCGTCAGTCGTCTTTTAGGGAAGCACGCTGACTCCTGCTGGTCATGGTGACCTTCCTATTTCCCAACGTTCGATTTACGGCGGCCTTGCTATGAAAGACTGCATGCGTTCAATTTCGTGGTGTTGCGTCACTCGTTTGCTATCAGTGAAGTTGGCCACAGGATTAACGTACAAAGCACCACACCTGCACCACCCTCGTTCCAACGAAGCTGGATGCCGCATCAGTTGTTCCTGGGTCTAGTCTCGATTCGCCCAAGATAAAGGATGGCGGGAAGCTCCTATCGCGGCTATCGTCCACACCTCTCTCACTCCCAAAGGAATGTCCAGTCACGATCTCTGTATTGCCTCTCGATTCGAAGCATTCGCAGGATTTCCCGGCTCCGCTGCTTGTTGCCAACCCTCGCCAACCATCAAGCCACGGTACCCCTCTCGCAGCGCCACTTGTTGAAATGCTTGAGACGGAGCGACGGGCCTGCCAAGCACCGACTGTGTCTCGCTGACCAAAGGCGGACTAGTTGGGACGGCCATCAAATCTCGTGATGAGGTTCAATAAGTCGCTTGGTTCCGTGAATTTGTGGGCTTCATCTAAGAATTCATCTCACCGCATTGCCCGCGGATCTAATCATTTTAGTTTCCTACTTGGTGGAAAGCGCCTCGTTCTGGGTACTGCCTTCACAAATCGTTCGTTGAAGGAGGGCTTGCAAGTCCGAGTGATGCTCTAAAATAGACATCGATCCGCGTGTTACAAAGTTTCCGCGTCAAGCCTGAACAGCCCGCAGGCCGCAAGGATCTCAAATTACCTTCTCCTGGTTGGATGGTTAAAAGAAAATTCGCGGGGAAGCTTTCGCCGATCTCACTTTGCTTTAACCTAGCTGCCGATGAGCCTTGGGAATGGCCTTGTGAACGAATTGGTCATTCTGGCGGCGTAAAAGCAGGGCAAAGGGCTTTGTGCATCTACAATCTGGAACTAAAAATGCCGCCGGTTCCTACGCTTTATATAAAGTGGAGCTGCGCATGTGAAGGTCTTCCGCTGGTGAAATTTCAACGGCCCGGCGGGATTCGCTCATTTAAATATCACACTGAGCATTGAGGAAAGAATATCGCCCACTCATTGTCGATCTCCGTCTTTGTAACAATGAACTAGAAATGGTGTGGTGGGTCCGCAGCGAAGGGGGCAGCTCGCGGCTTTGTCAGTAGGCATTGGGTTGCCTCCGCCCACCCCGCACAGGTATATGAACCAAGCGATTGATTAAGGTAGCCCGTCGGGCCAAGTCTGTTGTGAAAAGGGCCTAGAAACAAACGGGTGAGGGAGGGATATCTTCGGCGGAAAGTATATCACTATATAACTAATAGGGAGACCCTCGGTATCAAGCCTGCCTGGCTAGCTCAATCGGTAGAGCGTGAGACTCTTATTACGTAAGCCATCTCAAGGTTGCGGGTTCGACCCCCGCGTTAGGCTACTGGGAACAGTTCTTTTTGCTCTTTTGTCATTTTAATGCCTGTTTTGGTTGGTTGGGCTCATCTGCCTTCGAGAAACGCCTTCCCGACAAACCGTTATTTCTTCAGACCATCGCTGCCAACGGAAATCATGAAGTAAAGCGATTTCTAAGCTAACCAAGTATATGAGATGAAGAATCATGCAATCAAAGGATCAGGACCAGGGTAAGTCCGGATGTCGTGTCCATGTATGTCCAGTTTTCCAGTGTACCGGGCGCTGCTTTCTTAGCGAAGACTAGTCATCCCATCCCGGACAATGTTCTGATCATAGGGGAATAGATAGTGTTAGGAAGACGGCCAGAGCGAAGGCAACGCTCGCTGTGGCAACCTTAAAGCCAAGGCACCGGGAGACCTCAAACCTGGAGTGATTATTGGCCTCGGAGTCCCTTGCCCTGCTCATGTACCACTAAAACGATCTGTCCTGAGGGCTTATTACGAGAAGCATACTTCTCAACATCCCTAGGCCGTTCTAACTGATTCAGGCAGTCGAGCTCCTCTGAGTCAGAGAGTCACCTTAGCCCCACTGCAATCGACAAAATTACCGGCAGGTAAGGAATTCTAACAAGTAGAGAAGGGGGAAACAACACTTGGTGTGGATGTGGTGTTGATTGGTATGGAGGATACGGGAGGTGAGCAGGCTGTCTCAGGGGACTTTACAGGTTGGTTACCGTGTTTTCTGGGAACATTTTCAACTACGTCGGGGACAGTTGGATTTTCCCGGGCAGCAGACTGTATTGGTGGTTTCTTGTACACTCACGAAAAACTTTCGTATGGGTTTCCTGGGTCACTGTACCAGCCAGAATAAACTGAGAGTTGACTCCACTCATAGGGTTGATCTTGCGGTTTACTCTCTGTTATACTCATTGAATTCTCTTCCCGGGTCAGGATTGCGTCATGGGCTCAAGAATATCTCAGCTTCGACGTAACTTCAGAGAGAGAGAGATGGGAGGACTGGTGAACAGTGGCCGATTCAGGCTCTGGAAAATGACCTGCTTTCACAAAATACAGTGGAAGCGATCATGTTATTGAGCATCAGAGATCCTAATCGCTCTAAATGTCGTTTCAGATTCTTGCCTTTTCCCATTCTGTTCGATCGTGTTGGGAGCAGTAACGACATGACGGGCGCGGCCATAATCACACAGACGTTGAGTGTCCTGTGAGGCGAGCATCTTAAAGTACATGGTTAAGCATCCTTTGGAGAAATCGGGAAATTCTACATCTAGCTCCAGCTCCTCACTCCCAAGCTTTCCATGAGCTGGTATCCACTCTTTTGTGTCAAAGATATTCGAGCCAACTCGGACTTGGGGGCCAAAAAACCCCTCCTGTGACTTCAAGCAGTCAGAGGAAGCACCAAACTGAGAATACTTTTGGACCTTCAGACATACTGGTAGGCATCCCACTCGGAGGGATGTCCCGGACAATAGTAATCGATGTACAGAGTTCCTTCAGTCTATCGGATAGGTGGTTCCAATTGTTGTCTGGCAAGCGAGCGAGCTCAGCGTTTGGTGTGAGTGCGACCAGGTCCGGACGTTCGGGACTGATCTCCAGAACCATCAAACAACCAAGTGAACTAAATTTGGGAATCTCATCTAGACGCTGACATGAAAAAAAGGGGGCTTTCCCTCAGCTCCTCCGTACTCTGAACCATGGCAGATAGCGACATACCACCTCAACCGGGAGTTTACACCCTAGGCGGATTACCAAGTCTTCAATTTTGGTAGGTATTGCGCTATAAGCTGAAGTACACGTCTGAAAGTGCCGTTATCCGGTCTGCAATGGGGAGCTATTTTGAACTCTTTGATTGCCTCAGAAGGTAGTGCGAGCTTCTGATATGCGTGCTCGCTCAGGCACAGGCACTGTTCATTCAGCCAAAGGCATGATACTTCCAACTTTCTCGCTGGCTGTCCTGGGACAATCAGCGTTGCTTGAGGTAGTGTCCCCTTGAAAGATGTAAGTTGCAGGACATCTTCCATCGTTAGTCCTTCGAATTGAGCGGTGACGCAGTTGAGCCATGATCGTGTCAACTCCTGCTGTCTGCGCAATAGCGGTGTGAAATCTAGCTGTCCGCCAATGCCAAGGGTGGAATTCAAGGCAAGGCTGTTCAGCTTCATGTTAATTGCTTGCGTGAGTAAAGGCACAACGATTGGAAGCCATTGGCCTTGAAAACGCTGCATTGGCCAAATGTTATCTTTCTGGACTTCCTCGAGTGGGTGGCTAGGTCCATGAATCGAGATCGGAGTGAGAAAGCCACGGAAGGAGCGGATGAAAAGAAGAAGGTCTTGATGCTTGCCGAGCGTTTTGATGGGCCAAATACGTCGGTAGGACTTCCAAGAGCCATCTGGGTTCAAGAAACGATATAAGAGGGGCTCTACTAGTTGGCGGAGGTATTGGCAAGTTGCTAGGAGACAGGATTTTTGGGCCATGTCCAAATGGCTAATGATGAGTTCGAGCACCTAGTAAGGCATCTTGGCAAACTTTGAAACATTTTGGATCTCCCTTCGTGCAATTTCAGGGAGCTTGTGCTTGCCAGATAACTCAGTAGTGAGGATAGGAGGAGCGGCCGAATGAAATGACGAGGGCTCCGGCGTTCCCTACACGAGGATCTTGGTTACTGATCCCCAAAGATTAAGGGACATATACTCACCATAATGATCAACAAACAGCAAGTTTGGCCGGGTGGTTGAGCAACGATATCAACAAGCAGCAAGTTTGGCCGGGTCATTGAGTGAAGATCGCCGTCCGTCTGATAGTGTGGCACATCCGTCTGGAAGGTTCAGCAGGGTGGGTAGACGCAGTAATGTTGGACTTCAAGATATAGGGGAATCAAAGGTATCCAAGCAAAGATTTAGATGAAAGGGAAGCTCGAGCGTTTTGAAATCTGGGAAAGACCGCTCGCTTCTGTCCTCAGCAGCCCTGTGTACCTCGATGAAGATCACAAATTTGCACAACCCTAGTCCAGTAGGCCGGTAGATACTTGATTTGCTCATGAAGAGAGACTTTTCTTAATCAACATAAACCAGGACGAAACCAGAAATAGAAACAAGCCCGAAACCCGATCCCTTTGGTCGGACCATACGTTATGCGGTGAGATGAACCCTCGGCTGCAGCTCTCAGTCTACAGAAGTAAGTGGTCCAAATAGTCTGTAAAGACTTCATGAGAGACTTTAAATTCCGTTCCAACTAGTTCATTGCGCCTTTTCGGCTTGCTCTCCTCATAAAACAGGGTTGTTCACAATCTCTGCCACCCCTTCATTCAATCGCCCTTTGAGAATCCCTCCTACTTCATATTAATCTATTCACCCTTCCCTGCTACCCAAGCCCGCACTGTGAACATAGGCACCAATAAGCAGTGGCCCCTACTATTTGCACTGTACAACCGCTAGCCTACACTCCTGCCTCAATTCTGCAATCGCTCTCAACATGAGAGGTGCCAAATTGGGATTTATCCCGAAAGCGTTGTGACTTTCATCCTCTTTTGTGTCACCTCAGGGGCCTCCCAAAAGGCGCAATCTTCAGCGCCCAGCTGCGGAAAGCGGTGTAGGTCCGTTGGCGACCGCGTCGACAGACGTCTTCAACCACTGGTCAAGTTTTTGGCTTGAGAGGCGATCTTTCGGTTTGAAGGACCTCATTCAGGAGCTTCTTTGAGTTCGCCTTTCCCCGTGCATAACCGATTCGGGCCGACAATGTAGCTGCGTCGGTAATTAAAACCTTTGCCTCTGAATATCGAGCTTGGCGAAGCCAGATATGACTCAGCTGCAGAGAGGAGTTTGCCTGGCCCCAGTCATAGTGGATGCTTGCGTAGATGTCCTTGGCCTTGATTAATGACGTCTCTGCATCCGCAGGCTTATCCAGAGCTAGCTGGACGAGGGCAATCGCCCTCAATGTGTTTGCTTGGCCAAGGCTATATCCAATGCTTTCGTGGATAGCTAGTGCTTGGAAGTACGATGCTCCCGCTTCCGCGTACTGGGAACGCCTTTGCTGGACGTCCCCGAGCCCCTTCAAGGTGTTCGCTTGGTCTAGGTCGGAACCGATGGTTTTGTAAATGGTCAAAGCCCGGGAGAAGGATGCCTCTGCTTCGAGATACTTGGAGAGCGCTAGCTGGGTGTGCCCGAGCCCTTGAAATGCATACGCTTGACCATGATTGTCCCTGAAGCCCTTGTGGATGGACAAGGCTATGGTGTATGACGCTTCTGCTTCGACGTGCTTCTTTCGTGCCCACTGGATGTGCCCACGCCTACTTAATGCGTTCGCCTGGCCTACGTCGGAATCGAAGGCCTTGCAGATGGCAAATGATAGGTTGCAGTACGTCTCCGCTTCAATGTACTTGAACTGCCCTCGAGCAGTTTTGGCCGCTTGGAATAATATATCAGCTACCGTCATGTAATCTTCATTAGATAGGGCGATGGCCAATCCCTGCTTGTACATCTTTGAAGCTGCTTCAAATTTGTTCTGTAAATGATGTATTTCTCCCATTCTCAACATGAGGGCTGCGGAGCGACGTCTAGATTCTGAGTCCGTGCCACCCCTCGTTGCCGGGATCATGTGAGGCTATCGCAGAGAAACGTCATTATCTCGATCTTCATAGATTAGTACCCCACTTACGGTCCACCAAGTAATTCTCTTGCATTCTGTTGCAGACGGCTGTTCCTTCGGCTCAGGGTTCCAACATCTCTGCATGAGGCTGCATAGACGGAAGATTTGTGACAATTGGTCGTGGTCATAGATCGATGGAAGTCGGCCTTCTAAGATTCTCATGGTAACGTCAAATTCTGACGCGAGTTCCTCGAATGGATAATTGCCGGTGACAGTCTGATGCAAGGCGGGTAAGTTGGCGCCATGGTATAATTTCGACCAATCAAGCCCTATAGCTCACCTCCCACGCAATCCAACCCAACGCCCAGATATCGCTCGGCAAGTCCGGTGCTTCTCCATTCAAGACCTCGGGTGGTGCCCAGTGAAGTG